GATCGTTGCGAAAAATCGAACTATACCGCGAGGAAAGATCATGAAAATTTGAGTATTCGTCAGTTTCGTACTTCGTTACAAATTCGATTTCATCACTAAGTTTGACTGGTTTTGTGTAGAGTCTGAGTGTTCGTGAGTGAAATATAAATTCCAAATAAGCAAACCAATGTTTCTCTTCCAGCCAGAATTGTTCTCGAAATGAATCAATGAGTGATTTGAGAGAACCAAAGTCATTGATCTTTGAAAGCAAAGTGCCATAGGAGAAGAAAAATTCGAATTTTTCTACAAGAGGTAAGCGAGTTTGCATAAATTGCTTCCAATAGAAACCGTCTAGAGTAGAGTCAACTCTGTCTCTTTCCGATATCAACTTCAAATGCATTAGTGAAGGTGTTAGCGAAAGTAATGATTCTAATTTTTCCGTCGACAATGAACAATCTGTCACAGTCAATGACTGCAACAACAGTTTATTCTTTGAATCACATAATTGAACATTTGTTGTATTCATCGAATTCATAACGCAATCTTCTATTACCAATATTTTTAGATGAGTTACCTGATGAAGAATAAGAAGATATTGTTTTAACATACAGATACCAATAGAAAGACATGTCAAATGACTACCAGTGGGCCAGACAATATTTATCGATGTAAAGTGGAAATTCTTCAAAGCGAGCTTTTGAATTTGCCATCGAACTATGGTTGATGATATAAAAGACCATATGTCTGTATGTTTCTGTGCATTTGCATTGATTGAAAGTGTAATCAAAGAGTTAGAGTTTAAGTTCTCTAAAAGATAATTCATACTTGTATCATCAACATTGTCCAGTGTCAATGAATGAAGTCGAGTAAATTGATCAATATTGAAGATTTGATGAAAGGAAGTAGTTGAATCTTGTGATATATTAGGACTAGCAATAATAGTCAATGACAACACATTTTCAGGTCGAAGAAAACGAGAAATAACATCAATATTGCGCTGCAATGATGAATCATAATTCAATGTTCGTCGATCATAGATGTCAATACAATCATAAAATTTTTTACAGACACGACGAAGTGAGAGATATATCGTTTGAACATCAATATTGTCAAAAATGTGATATAATAGTTCCGGAGGTAAGCTAGCCAAAGACACATCAGCCATGGGGTTAGTCAATGACTGCAAAAAAAAAAAATAAGAAGTCGTGCGCTATTTTTCTGACAATGCAATATTCGATGCGTCATCAAACGGTTCTTTTTCTTTTGCTCTCAAGGCATGTTTTATTTTTTTCTGTTTATCAACATGACGCATATAGTGAGAAAATAACCAAAGTCGGAAAAAATACCTTGCTATTTCATACTACTTGTTTGTGAGTTACTCACCAACAGAAAATCGATATGGTCAAGCAATAGAAATCGTGTAAATCTACTATGATAGATATCAAATTTTTTCATTATGAAAAAATGAATTTAGTTGATGATTTAACAAAAAATTTACTTCGAACAAAAAAGTTATGCAACAAATCACCTACTGTATACTTACACTACGAGATACAATTCATGCTCATTCACTATATCGGCGTCTATCATATAGGTAAAGATGAATGATTTGAGTCAGTTTGTGAGGGTATTCTTTATTGTTTCTTCCGAATGAATCATTCAAAGGGAGAAAAGAAGTACACAGAACATATTGTTTCAAAACACCAATTCTTATCAATAGATGGAGAAACAAAAAAAAATGTGAAAGTATAAGTGATGCTCGTCGCATGAATAATAAATCGAACGACATTTTTTTCAAGCTGGAAGTTTCAAATCAAATAACAGTAGAAATGTATAAACACTCATGGACCTTGATTTGTCGCCACACCCATACTTCTTACTTTACAAATAAGTTGAAACAGACTGATTATAAAAGTCTCAAGAGTTTACAACTCTACACTGTAAAAAATAAAGGTTTTATGAATTATCAACAGGATATAAACCCCTATTTTTTTTTCGTTTTTGAAGTATCTAATAAACACCTTCGACAAGTCATAAACTGAAGAATCAATCAGCATTTCCATCATGTACAGAAAGAAAGAGTTTATGTTCGGTTATAAACTCATAAACTCTTTTTCTATATATTACGGTATCAAAAACGATTTTGTCGCGTATTATTCTACGAATTTCTTATAGTGTAGTTATCACGTATCAAACGTTATGTTAGAAGATCGAAAGTGAAGGTGAACTTTTCTAGTTTATTTATACATGAGTAAATGAAGGAGAGATAACAGAAATAGTAATTAGCTGAAGAAAAACAATCCATCAATAATAAGAATGATAACACCCACATATTTATATTATAGCAGTGGACTAGGAAAGTTGCAACGTAAGTTGGAAAAAAGATATCTTAAGTGAGGGCAAATGAAACTTGGAAAATTCTAACATATATAAATAATGATCACTGGGAAAAATCTCATGAATCACTGTATCACAGTAGTCTATACTTTTCTTTCTCAAAAACAAAGAAGCTCAATCATACCGCTTCAATGAAAAGATAACATGACCGTTTAAGATCAGCTATTGAATTACTAACTAATTCTGATTTATCACATATTTGAACTCGAATTGTAACAAGCATTCATTTGATTCTTTTAAGTATTCACAAATACTGAATAATAATATTCGTAATTTATTCTAAATAAATAAACCTAGGTCATTTGTTCTTTTTAATATGAAAGACAAATATTATATTTACTATTGTAACTTTTTACTCATATATTGATAAAATTAGAAGAAAAAAAAAACAAAATATACTTTAGAAAAATTCATGATTTATTAAATCTTCATATTATGGACATTTCTTAGTCGATATAAAGCATCTATAAACAATGAAATTTTATTACGAAGGATTATAGATTTCTTTACTTGACTAGAAACTGTTTCTCTGTATCTGATAATTTTGATGGAATATCCAGTGATTGTCATTCATTATCAAATTTCAGTAATAATGTATCATCAGTCAATAATTGACAATAGAAGCAAAACAATTTGTAAGTGTAGAATAAAAAATTTATCCAATATTCACTATTATGAAATGGTGTTTTGCCCATAGCTATACCATAAACTCTACATTCAGATACTTCATGTATCAATTTAAAAATGAATTATTAAAGTTAATTATCCTTATGTTTAATGTCTTATTTCAGGCTCTTAATCCATTAAAAAAGATACAAGTAGAACATTAGGACTCATATATTGAAGTGTATCTAATCATAGAAGTTATTTTTCATAATATAAAATAAATATCTATTACCAAGACTATTTATAACTGAAGAGAAGTCTTTCTTTTTTAGATCTCATTGATTGTAAAGATTAGAAGATTTTGAAACTTTTTTGTATACGTATTATTCCACCAGCAGTTTAGGTTAACAACATCAGTCATACTTTGATTGCTTCAGTGTAAATGAAGTTATGATAGATGAAATCGACTTTTTCTCTGAACTTCATAAGATCAAAACAAAACTTATGAAAGAACCTTCGAAAACATTCCCGTCCGATTATTTAGACTTTTAGAAAATTCATATTTTTGAATCTTTGTAAGAATAATCTTCTATACCGCATTCAAAGAGACGCATCGATTTTAAAATACTATATCTATTTCTATGAAACCAAATGAAAAAAAAAAACATTAGAATTTCAATAGAAACAGGATAGAGAATTCTTTCTATGAATGTAAAATACTTTATGTTTAACTTCAAACCTTGATGACCAATAACCTACAGAAATCAATAAAAGTCTGCAAAAAAAAGAGTACGAGATCTTAGTTAATCAATTGAGAAAGTATGAATCGTTGCAAATAGCATAAAATAGCAATGTAAATCATTGAATAAATTAGTTCATAATTTTTCACTGTTTTGTTGTAACATTTTTAATGTATCTAATTTCACTGGTTTAATATGTTTGCTATTAACCAACAATCGAGTTTCCTTTGTGAGTCATGTCCATAGGTATTAATGAGAGATAAATGTTCAGAAACTAGCGAACAGAAAACAACTTCTCCAAAACATGATATTATCTAAAACCAAAGTGTCGTAACAAGCTTGGTTTACGGTGCCTATACCTATAAAGTTTCCAGACAGTGTGAAAACTTGAATTTATTGAATCTTGTGCACTCCTGTGCTTGTAAGCGATTCTAGTCATAGCTACAACACAAAATAATCGGATCGCACTAGAAGCCGACTGGGTTTCGATGATATGAGGTTTAATACGATCTACGAATCGAGTACAAGTACGAAAAGCTGTATGCATACCATACTCAAATATAAATCATGATCTACTTAAGGTATTTTTGCAATTGGTCTTTTATTATATTTAAGATGATCATATCTGCAAGTGTATGACAATTGAAGAATTACGTATTTCGTTGAAATTATCTTAGTGTGTCGGACGTTAATCGTTTATTTGCTTATAAGGTGGGAAACGTTTAATATAAATTTTTGTTTGTTTTCAAAGCCACAAACGATACAACACAACAACAAGAGCAAAAAAAATCAGAAGAAAGATTTTAAGATAGAACAAATCACAAAAAAAAGACGACATACTCAACATAAACCGGTCTCATACAAACAAAGACAAAAAACAAAAAAATAAATGAATGATAGAATGAATGTTAAAGAATCCCATATATAGGTAATTAAGAATTTCATTCACATTGAACTATAGTAATAAATGAAACAAAAACAAACAAACAAACAAATTTTTTTTTACGCATTTCCTGCACTAAGAATTTTAAAAAATCGAACAAATTTTGCCACAAAAAAATTAATTATAAAATACCAAAGATTTCTTGCTGTTGGTCGTTTTGATATAAATATACGCCATAATAAAATAAGTATTATTGTATTAAATGTCCAACGTATATTACGTAAATTATTTAAATGTTTTTGTGCACCATTTAAACAATGTATATCTTCATTTAAAATATAACGTTTTGTACCAATTAAATATGATTCAATATATGTTGGCCAATGTAATGCACGTATATCAAAATAAAATTCATTTAAATTATTTGTTTCAATTATTAATTGTCTTAATGAATTTAAACTATCATATGAACATTGTATTTCTTCACGTATTGTAAATGATTCAAGTTTAAGTAATGTACGATGTAAATTTTTATATATATTAACAATATGTGGTTTACGTCCAATTAAACATAAACCAATATCAGCTAAATAAGCTGGTATTAAATGTGAAAAAAATATATAGGAATCATGTATTAAACTATGACTTGTTACAGATAAATTAGGACGACGAAATGCATGTTCATATGGTACACGTTTTGAATATTCTGTAAAATAATTACTCATTTCTTGCCAACGAAATGGATTAAGACCACTTGATGTACAATGATATATTGTTATATGATCATTCTTATCTTCTGAATATTTTTGCCATGCAGCAGTAATTGATAAATTAACAGGTATATCAACAGGTACAATATCGAGTACATCATGTGAATCACCTTTCATTGAACGTAAATAACCACGACCAGCAGCAACAAAAAATTCACTTGGTCCATTAGATTTTTCTACCCAACCAGGATATGGTTCTTTCCATGATGCACCTATAATTGATACACGAACAATTGATATTGATGGAAGATTTTTTTGTTCTTCAGATAGAATTGTTTCAGCAAGCCAATGTGAAAATGAAAATGCATTTGGTTTCGAACCAATAAGTTTTGGTGTAGCTATTGCAACCATTTCTTTATCCATCCAATCAAGAGCATCAAGTAATTTATGAGGTTCAATTGGACATGGATAAATACATTCATCAATGTATGGACAATCTAAATAAAATATTATATGATTATTAAAAATTTTCAAAAAGAAATCAATCGTAGAATGTAATTCGATTTCTTTTATCGTATGAATACCACTAATCTTGAAATTAATACAGAATAGTCCGTTAGTTATTCGAAATCTTTTTTTCAATAGAAAGAATTCAATGAAATTGTAAAATACACAAAAATGATATAAGCCTATAAACATTCCATTTCAAGAGTAAATCAATTTATTAGATTAAACGCCTATGACAAATAGTTTTTGGGAAATTGTATAGGCAAAACTAGAGACCATTCCGAACTCGGACCAATAAAATTCGATTCGATTCAATCTCTAGTAAAAATGAATGTTTCTTTCTCGAGAAAGAAGTATCCATTTTGGCTATGATATTTAGCTTCCTTTTTAGTCATCAGGAATCAAACTAATAAAGTGACCGTTAATTTTATAAGAAAGACTTATAGACTTTTATCTCATTGACGAATAAATATCTTCAAGTGCTACTCGTCAATCAAGCTGATACGTTGCCCTTTAGTAAACTTTGGGAGAATAGTAGAAACCTATCAGGATTTGTTCCCATACGCTGACCTTCCGAAATTATTATAATTCTATTCAGTTATTTATCTCGGACAAAATATTCGTGAAAACATCGTATAACACAATTTCAAAATGAAACTTTGCTTATAAGTAAGTCTCGTGTACATAAGAATGCCTGAAGACTTCAGTCTAAAAGGTTTAATACATGCCAGAAATAAAAAAACTACAATAACTTAAGAAAGATGCACACGGGGAAGAACCCTTATAGAGATCTACTAGCCTCATCAAGGTCTATTCATATGCAAAATATTAGTTCGATCGGCAAATCGTACTTGAAGGACCTTTTTTCGTAAGTGCTACTTATGAATAAGATATTTATAACAAAAGTCAAGCGTGTCCATCAAAAAAAGAATAATGAGTACATTCTATTTCTTTAAAAGTCATCATATTTCCTTGAAAACATACAGTAAGCATTTTTTTCACAGACTAGACGGACATGTCAGATGTTTTTAGAAAGTCTTTTGTTCTTTGCTCAATAGTGCCTTGACATCTCTCGAATGTCAACATAATCTACAACAGCCAAAAAATAACAATAAAAAAATTTTGTTTACAAGAAGACTAATAAATTATACATCATTGAATTTTGTCCAAATTGAAGTAGTAGAAAATCAATTATAAAGAAAGATGACTTTTTACAAATCAATTGAGTGAAAAATACAATTTCACTTTATTTAGAATTTTCTCAGGGATGTTTGCAATTCACTGTAAAAAAAAATAGGCTCCTAATCCATACTAGCAGCGTTTTTCAACTAATGATAAAAAGATGAATAAAAACTTTTATGTGATAAAATAATCCATATGTCAGAGTATATGTCGCCCCTATTGAAATCATAAAAAAGTACATTTTCAATTTTTCATTTAATATCTACTTGGATGCCCATAGTTGATATATCTAAAATGAATCATCAATCTACTATAAGAGAACAATTGGTTTCAAAAAATATAAGCAAAATCAAAGCGAACCATACCCAAAGGAATACGTGCTGATAGACATTATAGGTTATGAAAAGTGCTGAAAGTTTCTGTGATACCCATACATATTTGAAGTTAGACTGAAAATCACAGTGATAGTTATGAGTAAGAATAAAACTACTTCCAAGCGATTTTAATTTTTTTAAAAAGTTGACTGAAATTTTTTGAATTCTTCGACTTTGAAAACCTTTAGCCAAGGTTTACAGGCCATCATGATTGAATGGCT